TGTGTGTGTGTGTGTGTGTGTGTGATCTCAGAATAAACCCCCTTCAGGTGTGTGTGTGTGTGTGTGTGTGTGTGATCTCAGAATAAACCCCCTTCAGGTGTGTGTGTGTGTGATCTCAGAATAAACCCCCTTCAGGTGTGTGTGATCTCAGAATAAACACCTTCAGGTGTGTGTGTGTCTGTGTGATCTCAGAATAAACCCCCTTCAGGTGTGTGTGTGTGTGTGATCTCAGAATAAACCCCCTTCAGGTGTGTGTGTGTCTGTGTGATCTCAGAATAAACACCTTCAGGTGTGTGTGTGTGTGTGTGTGTGATCTCAGAATAAACCCCCTTCAGGTGTGTGTGTGTGTGTGTGTGTGTGTGTGATCTCAGAATAAACACCTTCAGGTGTGTGTGTGTGTGTGTGATCTCAGAATAAACCCCCTTCAGGTGTGTGTGTGTCTGTGTGATCTCAGAATAAACACCTTCAGGTGTGTGTGTGTGTGTGTGTGTGATCTCAGAATAAACCCCCTTCAGGTGTGTGTGTGTGTGTGTGTGTGTGATCTCAGAATAAACCCCCTTCAGGTGTGTGTGTGTGTGTGTGTGTGTGATCTCAGAATAAACACCTTCAGGTGTGTGTGTGTGTGTGATCTCAGAATAAACCCCTTCAGGTGTGTGTGTGTGTGTGTGTGTGTTATTTCAGAATAAACCACCTTCAGGTGTGTGTGTGTGTGTTATTTCAGAATAAACCACCTTCAGGTGTGTGTGTGAGTGTGTGTGTGTGGCCTGGTAAACCCTACGTTATGGGGTTTAGGTCTTAAAAAAAAAAAAAAGTGCATCCCAGGAAGGGTGCGGGTCCTCTGGGCACGAATAAAGCCCAATGCCCATGGTGAAATTGACTCTGGGCTTGACTCTGAGGCCTAGATCTCGAAAAATGACAGAGTCCAAAAAGTTGCGGTTGCTTCAAAGCTCCATGCTGTCAGACCTCCCTGGCCAGCCCAGGGAGGGTGGCCCGTCCTGGGCCAGATTCAGATTTGCCCGCCACCCATGGAGGTCCGTCTGGTGCAAAGACGGTCCTAAAACGGACCTTGGGGCTCTTGTAGAGGAGGTGAGAGGCCTTCCTGGGCACGAATAAAGACAAAGAGAGCCCCTGGCCGGCTTGACTCTGGGGTCAGAATTGAAAAATTCTGTGAGAATTCTGTGATCTCAGAATAAACCCCCTTCAGGTGTGTGTGTGTGTGTGTGTGTGTGATCTCAGAATAAACCACCTTCAGGTGTGTGTGTGTGTGTGTGTTATTTCAGAATAAACCACCTTCAGGTGTGTGTGTGTGTGTGTGTGTGTGTGTGTGTGTGTGTGTGTGTGTGTGATCTCAGAATAAACCCCTTCAGGTGTGTGTGTGTGTGTGTTATCTCAGAATAAACCCCTTCAGGTGTGTGTGTGTGTGTGTGTGTGTGTGTGTAATCTCAGAATAAACCCCTTCAAGTGTGTGTGTGTGTGTGTGTGTGATCTCAGAATAAACCCCTTCAGGTGTGTGTGTGTGTGTGTGTGTGTGTGTGTGTGATCTCAGAATAAACCCCTTCAGGTGTGTGTGTGTGTGTGTGTGTGTGTGTGTGTGTGATCTCAGAATAAACCACCTTCAGGTGTGTGTGTGTGTGTGTGTGTTATTTCAGAATAAACCCCTTCAGGTGTGTGTGTGTGTGTGTGTGTGTGTGTGTGTGTGTGTGATCTCAGAATAAACCCCTTCAGGTGTGTGTGTGTGTGTGTGTGTGTGATCTCAGAATAAACCACCTTCAGGTGTGTGTGTGTGTGTGTGTGATCTCAGAATAAACCCCCTTCAGGTGTGTGTGTGTGTGTGTGATCTCAGAATAAACCACCTTCAGGTGTGTGTGTGTGTGTGTGATCTCAGAATAAACCCCCTTCAGGTGTGTGTGTGTGTGTGTGTGTGTGTGATCTCAGAATAAACCCCCTTCAGGTGTGTGTGTGTGTGTGTTATTTCAGAATAAACCACCTTCAGGTGTGTGTGTGTGTGTGTGTGATCTCAGAATAAACCCCCTTCAGGTGTGTGTGTGTGTGTGTGTGTGATCTCAGAATAAACCACCTTCAGGTGTGTGTGTGTGTGTGTGTGATCTCAGAATAAACCCCCTTCAGGTGTGTGTGTGTGTGTGTGTGTGATCTCAGAATAAACCCCCTTCAGGTGTGTGTGTGTGTGTGTGTGTGATCTCAGAATAAACCCCCTTCAGGTGTGTGTGTGTGTGTGATCTCAGAATAAACCCCCTTCAGGTGTGTGTGTGTGTGTGTGTGTTATCTCAGAATAAACCATCTTCAGGTGTGTGTGTGTGTGTGTGTGTGTGTGTGTGATCTCAGAATAAACCCCCTTCAGGTGTGTGTGTGTGTGTGTGTGTGTGTGTGTTATCTCAGAATAAACCACCTTCAGGTGTGTGTGTGTTATTTCAGAATAAACCACCTTCAGGTGTGTGTGTGTGTGTGTGTGTGTGTGTGTGATCTCAGAATAAACCACCTT